ACCGACTACATCACGGTAGGAAACAGATAGGGGAGAAGCTTTGGGCTCTGGTGTCTAGACAGCAATCCACCAAAGGTGTTGACCTAAAACACAAACACGGAAGAAAGATGCCCCAGACAACCTCCTTGCTTAGGGAGTATTTCCAACCTCCCGTTTGGAATTTCAGCCTTTCTCATTGGACAAGCCCATCCTGAGAGGCATGAATCTTCTCAGACCTTAAAGGGCTCACGCACAGTTCCGCCCTGGTCTTCTGCTAAGTCTTCTGCTAAATCTTCTGATTGCTGCCCGTGTGAAGAGCCTGAGTCGGTGCGGGCGTTCCCGGTGGGCTCCAACACATAGCCTTTCAGTCGGCGGTTCTGTTAGATTCTGAGAAGATGAGGATGTGAGCTAGAACGCTTCTGCAACCCTTAAGTCTGCAACAGGCTTCGGCCTTGTCTTTACATTCATCCATCACGCCTCATTTGCCCTTTCCCATGTATGAGTGATTGTTTGTTTGTTAGACTAGTTTGTGTTAGTGTTTAGTTAATAAAACTCTTGTGCACAAATTATATGAGTTTCTGATTCTGCCTGGCAAATTAATTTCCCTTTATGATTTTGATCCTTGCTACATGCTCTAATGCATTAATACTGTATGAAAGTATTTTCTGTGGTCACGAAAAAATTATTTCCTAGAGTTGATATGAACTTACACTGAATGTTCGCTGGACGAATAGATTAGTTGAGGGCAATTTAATTCTGCTACAGTTACTACTGGCAGCTGATATAAATAATTGTAATTAATCATAATTAATTGTAATTATTTATATACATTTCTCTTTTGAGTTAATTTGGATGCACACCGGCATTCAGCATATAATTGTAACCAGCACTGCTGGTCTTTTCAACAGTGTAGGCCTGACAATGTAAAGTATTTTACATTGGCTGTAGCTTTCAACTTATGGTTTTAGTGTATTTCAAATTATCTACATTTGTCTCCCTTTCCAGGTTTCATGGGATGATGTTGTGAAGCAGCTTAAATTTGTGCTGGTCAGACAAAGTCTGAACATTGAATCAGACACAAATAAGATTATGTAATAAACATTGTTCTTTTTTTACAATTGGTTTGTCTCCTGCTTTCAACTCTTTCAAAGTCGTCAAGTATTTTTTACATTATTAAACAGGAAAATAGTGTGTCGATAATGCAAGAGTACAATAGGAAACACTCAATTTTTCAGTTAAAGTCAGTTCATTATTGATTCAGTGATGTCATCATCCAGCTCAGTTCAGTTCAAATAGTGTCTGTGCAATCAAGTTGACAATATTGCCAGAGCAAGCCAAAGACGACAGTGGCAAGGAACCAAAACTCCATCGGTGACAGAAATGGAGAGAAAAAACCTTGGGAGAAACCAGGCTCAGTTGGGGGGCCAGTTCTCCTCTGGCCAGACGTAACCAGCATGGTGTAGTTTAATTTCAGACTGCAACATGGGTCAGATTGTGCAGAGGACTCGTCTGGTTCTCGTGGTCTTGTGCCGATGGTCGCCGATCTGTCTCTGGAGACATGGTCTCTGTCTCTGGAGACATCTAGTTGACATGGTCTCCACTGACATTCAGGGCTGTAGAGGTCATCTCTAGGTGAAGATCCACCATATGGACTGGATACGGACTGGATCTGGGTGACTGCAGTGACCATTTGATCTGGATACAGACTGGATCTGGGTGGCTGGGAAGTGTTCCCGGTTTCGGTTGACCTAATTAATGCAGCCTAACAATCCTTTAACGGATTTGAATATTAGAAATGTGTTAGTGTGTTATGTGTAAGCCTGGTTAAAGAGATGGGTCTTTAATCTAGATTTAAACTGACAGTGTGTTATGTGTAAGCCAGGTTAAAGAGATGGGTCTTTAATCTAGATTTAAACTGACAGAGTGTGTCTACCTCCCGAACAATGCTAGGTAGATTCCGGCTTCCTCTCTCAACCTCTTGGCTGACAATCCTGGATATCCGATAAAATACAGCATTTACTGATTTAGGATGCAAGACAAAATGGCAGTGGGATCTAGTAAAGTGACCAGACTCAACAGGTGATTGTATCACTTCAGAAAATGCAGGTTAAAACCAGTCGATTGCTTTTATGCTACTTTACTCCACATTATGGAACTTAAATATTTTGGACCCCGCTTTACTGGGACCCATACATTACTGTATGGATAAAAAAACACCTAAAAGCTTCTTCAAATATCGTCTTTGTGTTTCATAGAGGAAAGGAAAGTATAAATGTTTAGAAAGACTTTAGGGTGAATAAATGATGATAAAATTTTAATTTTTGAAAGACCTATTCGTTGAAGAACACCTTTCTAATGTGATAAGTTTAAGTTTTAGACTAGCTGCACTCTACATGCATAATTAGGCAAATGCAGAAGATTACAGTTTGAAACAACGCTTTCAAAAATAACTCATATGGCCTAATTAAAATGACTAATTAAAAATGGTTTGATGGTTTTGGCAGAGCAATTTGTAGCAGGTCCCTCTTATCGGTCTTGACACAATAAAATGATTACCTAGAGAATTAAATATTAGGATGCATCTTTAAGTTTTTAGTAAAAATTCATTTGTTTTTGCTCTGTGGTCAATACTACTCAGATGATGATCAGTCATGAGAGTGTGCACACAAATTCTGCGGTTGATGTGTGTGCGTCTACGCAAGATAGAATTTCCATTTGCCTTACTGATGAGGTCTTGCAAGTTCATTAGGATAGAAAGCACGATGGGTAATATATTAAACTCTGGAGAATATCGCTCGAAGATCACTCACTCAGATGCTACAGGGGTCCCCTGCTTTACTTCATATGGCAACACTGACATAAATCCCATCGAATTATTCAGCTGGCTAAGAGAATCAGTTATTTATGGTAATGTCAGCTCAAAACATTCCCATGCATGGATCTATATCTCATTGATGGATGAGATGATTGGTTGTTTATTGTAATGTTCAGCTGGCGTGCTGAGCCCAAGGCTGCTGTGACGTTACCCCTGTGCAGTCAGTTGGTTTCTAAGGTCAGACAGTCTGTGCATGTTGCATTGCCCTTGTAACAAAGAAAATGTTGAGGTAAGCATGTATTTATGTGTATAAGATTTACCTGAGAGACAAAACTGCATGAGATAGTAAGACGTATTTTTAAAGAATACATCTTGAACCTACATTAAAGGGGTCATATGATACTAACTGCGGTTACTGAAACCACGCCTTCTTTCTTTGCGTGCACATTTGGGCGCATTATGCAAATATTCCCACATAGTGACCTAGATATGTGGGGGCGTGTTAGAACGAGCCGTTTTAGGGGGGCGTGGCAGAGTCTTAACTTTGATAAAGAATATCTCTTTGGTTTTGAGACTTTAGTCTTTGCAACTTCAGGGATCTTATCTATTCACGAACAGCTTGTAACACTCCAAAGAGAAAGGAAAACTTGAAATCGCATCATATGACCCCTTTAAATACATACATATTTTTTCACGTATAAGCATGAAGCTCATTATTAGCATTGTTTGTTAATGCAAGTGTAACTATTACTATTGCTCATACAATTTAAAACCCTACTTTTTCCCCTTGCAAAAAGCATCCCATAGATTTACATTAAAGGAGGGGACAGAATATTATTCAGGGTGGACTCTTGAGCCTGTAAACAACTATGTACCAACCACTCACAATACCAGAGCAACCATGCAGCAATGCTGTGGCAACTAAGGCTGAGTAAAATATGTTCCTTATCTGTCAGTCACTCTACATTATTTCAATGTAGTGACACTTGGGGTTGTACTTGTGAGCCCCAAACACCTCTGATGGTTGGTACATATGATCACTGTGAGAGCATGGCCCTCAAATGTTGCAATTCTGGCTTTCTTCCTTTTTTAAGAAGAAAGTCACCTCAGTTGCTCAATCCTGGCCCTTCTGCGGCACCATCCTATTCCTCAGCATGATCATTTCTGCTAGTTGAGCTCTTCTATGATAAAGGCAGTTCATTCTTGAGTGAATTTAATTCCCAGGATGCCCTGGCCATCCTCCAGGTACATCACGCCAAGGCACTGAGAAACATGCACAAGGGTAGTCCCGACCCAGCTCTTATGCAGGAGCTGTGTGCAGTGAACGATCTCACCCTATGGGCGATGAAGGTCACAGCGCAGGCACTCAGTTGGGCGATGTCTACTCTGGTCCTCAACCTTGGGAAAATAAGGGAT